ATACTTATTCTGGTGCTTAACTTGATACAATGTGTGTAGAGAGAGGGGAGAGAGAGTCATATTACATTTGTTACATAATAGAACCTAATGTTGCGTGACAAGTATTACAATCATCAGTCTTATCATTTTAGTCTCGTTACATGACGTTTCAAAACCGGTTTGACCTGCTTAGCTGGGAGTTAATCTAGTTGCGGTGTAAAACTGCTTGAGGACTTTAGAATATTTCCCGGCTTATTATTCATGAAAGAACCTTGGTGAGCAACTGGAAGACCTCAGTGTGATTAAAAATCAGTTTCACTTCTTCAGTCTTCCCTAAAACTAACGTCACTGATACCACGTATTTTGGCTATTAAAGTGGCAGTTTTAGAGGCTGGGTTCTTGAGCAGGCCAATGATCGCATGGCTGACACTCAGGAAAACTTCCCTCATTTAGCGCCGTCCATGCTAAGTTTTCCACTTTTTCACGACTGTGGCTTCATAAGTCTGAAAATCTCCGTTGATGCAAAGGGTATATTTTGTCATATTATACTTGTTTGAATCTGTTTGCATAGACATTTGGGATGAGAATCAAACTAAGTCTATGACAGTTGATTTGTTTGAAAGCATACTAGCATCACGTGGTATAGGTCTGTCAGCTCTACGACGTACTGTTTTCCCGCGGAAATAGCAGTTGTCATGGAAATCATCCTAATGTGAGAAATTTCTCGCGTTTGCTGATAAAATTAGCGGTTGACAAAAAACAATGCATCTTAGCGATAGATCCTTTGTTTGCAGCATGTGATCTCCACAGAACCTTGAAAAGTCTTTAGCAAAACGTCGTAAAGGACAAATAACATAGCAACAGAGAAAAAGTCCAAACATCATTCGGGTTGGCAGAAAGTTTGTCAAACTTGTCTGGTTGTCGAAAATCTAGACCACAAGCGTCGATAACAGAAGTATACTTAGTTATGTATGCACACAAATACACTAAAGCTCTTGAATTGAATATTTTATAGTGTTTGCGTTTAAACTGAGAAAAGAGTTTTCAACTTGAGATAAGGCAGCTTAAACTTGAGCACACGAGACGTTTGGCTTGAAGTACTCTTTGGCTTTGATTAGATTATCGTGAAGAGGAATGAAACTCCGATAAACTTCATGTTATTAGAAAAATTCTTTCAGTAAACACGGCTGCCGTCCTTTCATCTATTGGCTCTAAAAGATTAACATAAAATGCATATAAGAAAAGCGTAAGCCTTGAGGCTTTACGGAACCATTGGCATACTCGACTGATTGCAGTACATGGTCTACTTAGTAAGACTCTACTGAGAACCATATCATGGTACAGGTGACTCAAGTTCAGATTTGAAGCCCAAAGTGGAAAGACGTAAACCCGTACGTCAGCTTAGTAAGTACTTAACGCTTCCTTGTGACTCAAGTCGACTTGTACACTGTACAGTTCTTGTCTTGTTGTTTATTGTGTAACTCTACCGTGGCACAAACTTGAATATCGAGTCGACGTCTGTTGGAGCTGAAATATCTGCTGTAATTGCTGGATTTCTAATATTTGGTCTTTTTGGCACCTAATTACACCACTAATTTCGGCTTTGTTGAGGCGTTTTTATGATAGTAAACGAGAATATTCTTCTGTTATAAGGACAGGGGATTCGTAAATTGAACTTAAATATGTTTGCGTGATTATTAGAGTTTTTATTGTAGTTGTTCAACTTTAGAATATGTAATCGACAGTAAGAGATGAGAAGTAGCCGGCTCTTAAACGAATAAGAAGAACTCGTAGATCTTATCCGAGGTGCTTGTCAATATTGAGATCCTTGAAGCACTCCATTCCGTACTGTCAATTGTGCAAAAATCTTCGAATATATTCATGGAATGTTACAGCCGGCTTCATCTGAAGCCTTTACTATTTTTATATGCATGGATTATATTTTCTGCAGCAACAGCATCTTAGCAATTGCACGATCTATTATAGTTAGTTACTGCTAAGGTTAACGAGAAACGCGCAAAAAAAATTTCTCAACTGAAAAACGATTATTTGTAAGCGTCTCTATTTTATTAGATTTCATAGCCGTGTTCTTGCCAAGTTACAGCGTACCGACAGGAAGTTGTGAACGTTTTCATCTGAATTACTGGATACAACTTGGCCTTACAAAGCGCATTACACGACTCGACGTCCGATGCCAAAAATGTCTTATAGCGCAACGTTCCTATCGAGTATCTCTTACGACATTAACTTTCCTTAAGAAATATTTTGGTCGGAATACATATATATAGGTGCAGGTTCCGTGAGAAAATCTCCAGGTTGCTRCTAAAAAGTCCTTTGATTTTTAAGAAAAGTAAAGAATTTCTTTAATTCTAGTCATAAAATTATTTTTTTTGTTTATTGTGGAAACTGAGTTCGCCAAAAAAAGTGACGGCAATGAAAAGAGACATTGTGAAGGAGAAATTAAATAGTGATTGTGGAACTTTTTTGGGTAAACGCTTTAAACAAACGACGCAAATCCATATAATAATTTGTTTAAACAAAGATTTGTCATTCCATGTTTCCTCCATGGTCTCAGAATTTAATCTTGTGCAGCATAGCACGTAGCGGGATCAAGTGTCTGTGAGTATTACATTCGAGGCTCGTAGTGCTCTCTTAGATTCTCTTCTAAGTGGTACGGTTCACTCGAAAGATAGGTCGCGATCGCAGAGTCACGTTGCCGTCGGGGTGCACCAGTCACCAGGTGCGAACAAATAAAAGACCTCGAATTCAAAACTAGTTGAATTCAGGTGACGCAATTCAACGGTAGCGGAGACTTCCCTCTACACTGGTCAGTCAGCGGCATCGAAGAAATAGTCAGAATCCACGGATACCGGCGTCCTTGGATTTAAGAATAAGGAACAAGGGATATAGGACCACCTAGGAATCCATCATTATTTTCTATCCCGCACGATACCTATYTCTATGTACTTAGTTTGAAACTTGCGCACACAAATTAGTCTGCGATTACTGCCGTCTATACATTCGAGGATTTAGTGTCATCTAAACATATACAAGGAAAGTAAGAAATTCGAATAATTTTGGACAAGTGAAAACTAAAAATAGGCATTTTCTGTGTTGTAGCAACAAGAGTGCCTTATGTTCCTGCTGCGCATGCGTGAAAGATRTATATGATTATCGAAAATCTCTGAGCATGCGCACTAACAAAGTTAAGGCTTTGACGTCGACGGTGGTCGTACTTTGAAATGACTACATTTTCCTTGACAACAGAATAAACAAATAAGCAAACAAACTGTGAACTAAACTTTCATTATACATTTGTACCAGCATGCCTTGCAAAATTAACAAATCACGTGGTCTTATCTTAAAAAAGAATAAGCCTAAAAGAAATGAATTCTCGTCATATATAAAAAAACATTAGCGCATACTTCTCTGAAACCATTACCGCACGAGACCAATTTGTATTACCAAGTATTACAAGTGACCTATGTCGAGTGCTCACAACATAACTTTRTACGTTGAGAATATCGTCTTGCACGTTATTGCATGGTTACCGAGGCTGTGTCAAAAAGGCCAGTAAGTCAATCAGAAGTAAAACGACGTCAAGTATACGGTATTGTCTAAAATTYTAGTTTTGATTGCCAACATATATATTTCCATAAGACCTGACCAATTTAGAACAACGTTGGTAGGGTTTCACGACAATTATTGCAGACAAAAGTTGCTTRATTTTTGCGCGGATTGCATTTGACTTATTTTTTCAACAGGTTTTCTGTATGTATCTTAGTCAGTAGACTTTCTCCATCGTATGAGTATCAGTTAATAGGGTAAATTCAGTGTAAAAATGTAACGTTGATTGTACATGTCTCAATACATAGCCGTTGTAGTATTTGAAACACTTGCTCAGTTGCTATTTTCCTGCGTTCATGATATACTTTGTGCGGTTAAGCTTTTTACTTGTTAACTAATCGACATATATTTATTCTATATTTACGAGACACCAGACAATACCTACAAAGAGTTTTCAAGATGGTTTTTAATTGCTAAACCATCTGAAGATTCTAAAAAATTTTTAACATCTCATCTTTTTTTCTTCTTTGCAGCCGCTGTCAAGATTGTGGAGCTAAATTAAAAGAACCCTGCCTCCGAACTGAGAGCAGAATAACTGAAGATTCTACTCACTTGATTTAAACTGAGCTCAACCATCTCAAGTAAGTCACTGCAGTCTCAGCACTTTCCAAAGCTTAGTGTTTGTCCCCAAAAGCCTTTTAATTAGAGAGTAGATAAAAACCTTTTCAGACCATCTTAGCTCTTCCTCTTCACTCAAAGAGATCGCCAAACATTTTAAAGAAGGTATTTCCGGTATGTTTTCAGTGGTCTTTTAGAAGTTTACTCTTAGGATTTCTGCTACAAAAACCTAAGCGCAACTCAAACACCCAATGACTTACTTTCTGAATTCTCATCATTCTTCCAGAAAGCGGAGAAAGTAAACAGAAATACCTCTTTCTTTAGATTGCTTTTTAGAAAGACTTATCGGAAAATATCGGAAACTTTTCCACGAGTTTCCCGCCCTATACCGTTCACTAAGTAAATAAGAAAACACTACAACTTACTAATGCAGAAAAAATCTTTAAAGTCTAATTTGTAGGATATAACTAATTGTGCAATGAGCTCCTAAGAGCATTCATTTTAGTCAAATTGAATTTTTGGTGTGATCTACAAGATTTCTAAGCGGGGAAAATGAGTTTATTGTAGTCGTGTTTCTCAACAAGTGACAGTAATTACCATTGCAGCCGTCACGAGCATTGTTGGGTAATAGTCAGGCTTTGATTATCAAAACAAAACTTGGAGTACTGGTCCTGACAGTCTTGATCTCTTTAATACGCGCAATGTTTATTCTGATATTGTTGGTTGGCATTAGAATGCATTAATACAGTTATGCCTCCAAGAGGGCTGTTTGGGTAACAGAATCGTTAACCCCATAGTGATGAGGATAGATAGAGGACTGGCATACAGATCATGATTCTGTGAGTTCAAAAGCATGCAGATTTGATTTTCATTGGAAATTGGGAGTTGGTTAAAGCGACCGTTGCTCGCGCTCAAATTGAAGGTGACCGCTGCAAGCGAATTTAAAAGATAAATGAAAATCCAGTACACCGTAGGTAGAAATTTGTTCACTAAAACGATATTTCGGCAAGCTATTACTTGCCTTCTTCAGGTAAGCCTACGACCGTATTGTATTCCAAATGTGTTTGAGCACATTGCTGAAAATAAGAAAGTAGGTAGTCAGYACTTTTGTCGCTGACCAGAAAGACTGAAGACTCGAATACCTTGACGAATCAGGAGCTCAAGTTAGTTTCCTGAGCCACCGAACAAATACTAAAACTTTGGTAAAGGTGCGCATGCGCAGGAGCACTTAAGAGTCCCACTTGACGGTCATGTTACATTCCAGCACGATGTAGTTATTCTTAGTCTATGCGATTAAATTCTTTTAATGTCCTTTTAATGAATACTGAAGTTGTAGATTTGAGTGACATTTCCTTTCAAAGGAAATTAATCCATTTTCTCAAAACTCGACAAAACACAACAAAATAAAATTTTAACCACAACAAAGTCAGAGTATTGTTGGTATATCATAAACATTCCTAAGAGGAAAAAACTGAAGAAAAAAGTCTTAGAGTGTGATAGCCTTTGCACATCCTGGCACGGAGAGCCTTTAGTAAGTTAAGAGGGAGAAAAAGTTTGCCGAAGGCGCGTTCGTAATGTTGGGTGATGTCGCTGTAGAGCGAATGAAAAATCGTTTGATAAATTTAACCAACATGACGGCTATGACTGAAATTATTCGTGATTTCCCGATGCGACCAACTCGTGGCGCATGCCATCACATTTGATACAGTTCTGTCAATCATGTCATAAGTAGTAAGAAAGTTCAACTGGACCGGGGTTTTGGGAACAAGATTGGTATACGTGTTTAATTCTAGCATATCACTGTTTTTTTCTCCTCGTACGCATCACAAGCATATGGGTTAGTTTTAAGTGACCATAGCTTCCTCTTGTCAGATAAGTTATATCTAGACAGGTCAACAGATAAGACTGTCATCTCCTAGCTTTGTCCACAAAAATAAAGTCTTGGCAAGGCTCACGAAGTCAAAAAACCGCAGTTTTCCTATTATGACCGGAATGATCTATTCATGTGGGTATTTGGTCAGCCTTTAAGAGGTACAAGGATTACTATAATGCTTGAGTCATGTCTGAATTTCTCTTGGTTTAGCTCTCACCCCCCCTTTTTTTAATGCTTAGTGTTTGGTCTAGTCTTTCGTGGTATATAAATATCTAAAAATGCGCATCGCTGGTAAAGGCATAAGCTTAGACTTAGTGATGGAATAAATGATTATTGGGAATCAAATAGTTGTTAGCTCTTCAAAAAGTGTTATTTAGAAATACCATGCCGTAGCGTGACACAATACATAAAATTCTCAGAAAATCTCTCCATGCTCTTCAATAAAACATCAGTTTAAAGTGACTAGGATGTTAAAGAGCTAGACCCGTGGATACACTTGGCAATCGTGTGAGATTTTAGAAAGA